GGGCATGCAAATTTTCAAGTCTTAGCCCCCAGAATATTATTGCGTATACGCAACGTGTTCGCTCCACAAAATAAAAACCTGCAAGTCAGTGAATTTTTGGTGCGTGGTCTTTTTTTTTTTGTAATTGAAAAAAAGGAAAAACCTCAATTTTTAAAAAGGCTTTTTCGGGCGGCACTTTTGAAGGTAAAGCGACCTTGTGCCGGGTTCTCCTTTTCTCTTTCTCTTTTTGTCTATCTCTCTCTTTCACACTTTTTCCCTGGACTCTGTTACTTTTTTTTTCTGGAAATTTTTGCAGCATCATGCCAACTAATTTTCCAAATGACGCAAGTTAATTGCATTGGACTCTGCCTTTGTCAAAGGTGAAAAATGCTCAGCCGACTAGAAACCAGGGGGAGAGAATATACATATACATAGGGCATGGGGTATATATAGAGATGGCTATAGGGTACTACCAAAAAAAAGGGGCAGAGACCACAGCCAAAGGGGCATTCATTAAGCCAAATCATATTAAGTAAATATGTCGAGCAGTCGAGGGAACTGATGGTAAAGAGAGCACTGCCAGAAAGGGTTTTTGGAAGGAAAATTTCAGAATATTCAGAATATTTTTGGGTAATTTAATAGACTATTATTTCTTAGAATTCGCAGACAAACGGATATGCGGACAAGCCTCCTTAAACTTTTTTAAAATTTCAAACAAAACTAAGGCCTTAAACCTACTTTTCCACAAGATTTTAAAAGAATTCTTTACAGGAGGCTATGGTACTAAAAATTCTTAGACTAAGCATCTAAAGGTGCTTCTTAAAAACCAAAATTCGCGGACGAACGGACACGCGGACAAGCATATAAACAATCTCTTTCAAACAAAAACCAAAACTCAAGTCTAAAATCTTCTTTTTAAACAAGATTCGTAGATTTTGAAAATTATTCAAAATCCAATAATATTTCTTAAAGTGTACTTTGCCTAGGGACCGCCGCCTGTCACGGCTACCGCTGGCGACTCCCGCCGGCCAGATCTGTGGCGCCTCTCCAGCGGCAAAAAAAAAAAAAGTAAAAATGGGAAGAAAAAAAAAAATTATAAAACAAATTAGTCAATGACGCGGCGATCTTCTGCCGCTTTTGTGAGAGCAGAGAAGTGTATTTTCATTAATATTTTATTGCTTAATTCCTTTTGTTATGCTGATTATGCCGACGAGGTCTGTGGAAGTAGCAAGCAGCCCAGCAGCAGCCGACACAGTGAACAAATGAGGCCTGGAATCGGGCTCTGAATGTTCATGGGAAAAACGTCTCGAAGATCGTTGCATGATTTTCAATAATTTAACAGCGACTTTCAATATACTACCTATCTTTGTATGTATAAATCCCCCCTCCAAGTCCCCCTTGGAGCTTTTTTTCTGTGATCTGTTTGGATTTTTTTATTTAAAAAATGTTAATTTTGAATCGTTTTCTGGGCAATTTATCATCTTTCTTCTGTTCTTTTCGTGTTTCTTGTTTTGTTTCTTGTTTTTTTTTTTTCGTTTTAAACGCTTTTAATTAAAACCAATGCGCATGTGTAACTTTCTTAAGCAGGGCCCCCCCGATACGATACCTTGTCTATATAATATACCATAGCTATAGAGAGAGAACTGAACTATGATGCCTCATAGCCCCATAGTTTGTAGTCGACAGTCTGTGGCTTTGAACTTGGCCGACAGGCGCGTTTGTTAAATGATTGATGTGGTATTAATTTTAATAAACGTTTCTCAGTGCCTCTCTCTGGGCTCCACCAACGATATGCAGATGGGCCACTGAAGCCCCTCAAGACTGACCAGTTTTCTGGTCGTTTTTGTTTTTTTTTTTTTTTTTCGTTGCGGTTTGAAGAACATTTTTTATGGTCACACACACGCATATTGCGTGGCGTCTGCATTTTGCCGGCTAAGAGAGAAGGGGGACGGGGTGGCTGGGGATTTTGGGTGCTACAGGGTACCAGGGTCTTCAAGGGAAAGGTGCTGCAGATTGCGCCTATTTGGCATTGCTGACTCTATTAAATGCGCCATCATGCAACGAGCAACTCTCGGCTAACTAGGAAATTGCAAATTAAGAAAAAGTAGCTACACTTTGAGAAAAGAGATCCTCTTTTAGGGAAAAGATAATGTAGAATATGGTTTTATATGTTTCAAAAGAAGCTATGAGAATCATAAAGGCTTTATTTTCGCTATTATTTTTCCTATTTTTGTGAGGAATATTTTAAGAGATCTTTAACATCTATGTAGATCTGTCAATTTTTCTATAAAACCTCATTAAACCTAAACCAAAAAATATTATCTTATATAAAACTATAATATATTTAATAAACTTTACTTTTAATGAACAAGTTTTAGATTTTAGGTTAAAATATCATCTTATAGAACTGGTTCAAGTTTAGAACTCTATTAAGGAGGTACAACAGATATCTTTCTTATAAGCAAAGCATCATAAGAAGTAAGAACCAAAATAATATAACTATTTCTTCAATCTAAGCCATCCATATCTCTACTTCTCTTTCTCTTCAAAAAAAGAAAACCGATATTTTCGGCAATTTCAAAAGATTAACACCTGGTATTTTAATATGTCGTAACGCTATAGTTTTGCATAATCAACTTGGAAGAAAAAAAATTATGGAATTTGTATCGGAATCGAGAGCAAAGTGCCCTGAAGCAGGCGAAATCATCATTAGCGGAAATCTGTCTTAGTTTTCGGATCGGAAGAAGATCAAAAGGCTAGCCGAACGGGGCCAGAAGATCATCATTATATATTATATATATTAGACTATTTTTTAAGTGTCTGCTTCCGTCATTGTGTCAAGGAGTTGTGCCAAAAAAAAATAGCGAAAAAAAAGAGTATTAATAATAATAATGGCAGGAATGATTCCATCGTTAGTTTCACACCTCAAGTGAGCCTGGATAATTGATTTCATTTCCCAAAAAAAAAATCAAGAAAAAAAGGGCCAATATCTATGTATGTATGTAGCTGCGGCCTGCGTATCTGTTAAGCCGTGTAGCCGTGAAATTCGTTTGTACACTGAACGAGCCGCATCCAATCGATTTGCCAGTATCTATGTATCTCGCTACCTCCGCGCCAGCCCAAAAAGATACTCTCAATCATTAGACAAAAGAATTCCAGCTGAGCGACTGACAAAAGGTGTGTGCGGTGCGGCGCTACTGCTGCCTTGGCTGGTATCCCTGGGATGCGAATCCATGCGAATGTATTCGTGTATCCGTCGGATTCGCGGCGTCTAGCGGCGCTCTCGATTGTTGTTGTCATTGTTTGTTTATTGCCATTTATTGTCAATGCTAATGCCGTGTAAGTGGTTGATTTGTCAGATACTCTGCACAAATGAACAAAAACCAAACAAAAAAAAAAAGACAAATACCTAACCGATAAGTAACCGACTCCCCCAGTATCTGTGGGATACTTTTTTCGTTGACAGGTTTTTGTTAACAAATGATTTGTATATTCATCATAATTTATTCCAGAGTTTTTAAAACCATATGTTGAGAAGTATCTTATAGGGGAAGTATTTTTACATACCAGGCCTCTCAAGTGGTTGGATTTTGAGACTATTGGTTGGGTTCTTCATTTAGTGGATAGTTTTCTTTATAATTCTTTTAAAATTTAAATACTTTTTTATTAGATTTTTTGAAAGGTAGAGGGTTTGAATCTTGATACTTTTAAGTTACTTATGTGTTCTTTTAAAAGATTTTTTCATTTAAAGTTGAAGCTCAAGTTTTTAGTTGTTGAGATCATCTTTCTAGAAATCTATCATCTAGGAATATTATTTATGAAACAAAAAGCCTAGCCCCAAAGTGAGGTAATACTATTAGATCATTGTTAAGGAAAATAATCTTGAAACAAAATAAAATTTGGGAGTGTTCTTTTTAAAAAAAAAACCTAGAAATAAAACCATGAAAATTTGTTTCTAATAAGATTCTTTATAGATCTTGTTTCTTCAGAGCATGTATGTGAAAAATTTTTAAAGTTGTTCGTATATCTGCTACTATAAAGGCTCTAACTATAATATTATTTGTAAGGTAAAATTTTTTATTCATTTAAATAGTTTCTAGAAAACTAATCACATAGTTTCGATGGAAAAAAAGCTCTGGGTTTGTAGATATAGATATATAAATATCAAATATCTATTGTATAGATATTTTAGAAAAAAGTTTTTGGTTTTTATTTTTAGTTCTTGTGATAAACTAGTACTTAAAGAAGCACTTAAAAGTATATACATAATAGTTTATACAATATAACTTTCAAGTAAAAAATTGAAAGGCTTAGTATATTTGGTAAAATTTTGAACTAAAATTTAAGCCATTTCCTAAACAAGAACCATTATAATTGAGTGGCCCTTTGTGAAAAATACATTCGTTTATATTGTTGCGATTTTAATATAATCTATATGGTATGTAAGTATTCTGATATAATAATATACCATACCATATAGGAGACTTGAGACTAGAGAGTGTCCTAGAGATACTATATTCTTTCCTATTATTCCTATCTATCCTATTCCTATCCGATTCCTATCTAAATGCCTCATTGTTATACTTCCAGTACCTCTAGTACCCTAAGAAATATAGGTTACTACTTTCCTGTTTATGATGTACAATTTTTCTCGAGAGGGTCTTGAGATCTTACTCTAAACTACTATAGTTCCTAACAGATGAAGTCCTATATATAATATTGAGATCATAATCACCCTATAGAACCAGTTGTTCCAAAATTATGTGGAATTAGAATATTAATTCTTTAAATACATTTTTGAGAAGACCTATTATCCTATGACCCATGAAGACCATAGCACCTATAGTTATATAGGAGAGTAATTCCAGTAAGTAAGTTTCTCTAAAGATACCAAAGTAACTCTTTACAGAGTATATTTCCTAACCTTATAAACTATAAACCCCTTCAGATCACCCTTTTTTTCGCTTTATCATCAGATGTTCTATCTTTGAGATATAGTATCTCTTTGGAGGACAACTTACCGGATTAACTTGTGGCTTCTGCAAGTGTGTGGCAATATTTGTGATGTTCATGCCCATGGCCGGAATCTGAGAGCCGTACAGCTGTCCGGCCGTCGGAGTCATGTCCGTTAGCATATTTGTTGTTGTTTCTATTGATGGTAGTATAGTTGCTGCTGCTGCTTCGGCTTCGGCTTCGGATGCTACTGCTGCACCCGTGGCAGTATTATTTGCAGTAGATACTGTCAATTTCAGTCGCACAATGATGCTGTCTTTTGATTTGTACTTTCTTTTGTGGCTTTTGTGTGTTTTTTTTTTTTTTTTTTATTCACAATTGGAATAGTTGCTGTTGTTGTTGTTGCTTAGGTTTTTGTTGACTATTGTTGTTGTTGCTGCTGCTACTTGTGTTGTTTTTGTTGTTGTTGCAGGACACCGGTGTTGAAGGACACACTGCTTGAAGGACAGGAGGAGACAAAGAGAGGGGGGACATGGAGTGGCAGGCACACAGGCACACACACAGGCACAATGAAAAAAAATAATTAAAATAGGCAACAAAAAGGGATTAGCCCAAAAATCATGGATTATATATATATATCAGACTTGTATAATAAACCGTTAGCTATATAACTGTATCTCTTAGCTACAATTGTATCTTGAAATGTATCTTTTATGTTTTTTGTCCGTCGGTGTTGCACTTTTTTGTTCACTTTTTTTTTTTTGGCTTTTCCGTCGGTTGATGTTTACTTTTATTTTTATTTTTGTTTATTATGTGGATTAGCTAATGTCACTGTTTTCTTTTTTGTTGCTTTGGTTTGATTTTTATACAAAAAAAATATATAGTTAGAATTAATAATAGAAATGACTATAAAACTTAGGCGATTAAAAAAATTAATAAAATTTCGAACCAAAAATATCGCAGATCACTGCAAACATTTGACTTTTGTTTGTTTAGAAGAAGGGCTTTTCTTTGCTTTTCTTATTTGTTTGTTTTGCTTGTTTTGGATGTTTGTTTGTTTGTTTATTTATTTGTTTGTTGGTTTTGTTTGCTTGTTGGTTCGTTGGTTGGTTTTGTGGACAGGAGGCGCCTGCGAGGGCCAACGCAAAAAAAAGTGTCGCTGCTGCTATCCGCGCCAAAAGTAACGCCGTCGTCGCTGATCGTTCAAAGGCTTGCAACTGTTTCGGGCGAACAAAAAGCTTGCCCCCAGTTGCTGCCAGTTGTTGGCAGCAGCAGCAGCAGCAGCAGCCACAGTCGCAGCAGCAGCAGCAGCGGCAATTCAGCTGCGTCGCTGCTATCCAAAGCAGAGAGAGAACGAGATCCCAAAGATATCTTTCACCACTAGGTAGCATTATCTATCGAGTGCAAGCAAGACAGCTGTAGTGACACAAAGGGGCGCGAAACCACCACCATACACAAGCCACAGGGGTTCAACTCTGCACTCTATAGTGTATATTTTTATTTTTATTTTTTTTTTTTCCAGCAACAACAGGGGCGCCAGGGTGCCTTGGCTTGATAGTGGTGTGTTTTTCATTCATAAAAACCCGACTCGCTGAAACGAAAAACCAGTTTTCCCAGAGTTACGGCCCCCTTCTACGAAATTCGAAATTCTGAAAATCAGCCAATCCGAAGGCTTGTCTTTTGCCGCCTAACCTATAATTAGAGCGATGGCCGCTGTATGAGAGAGATGGCAATGGCCACGTGCCAGAGCTGCCATCTCTTTCACAGTCCCCCCTTCGCCCCCTCGCACACATTCACCATTCATTCCACCTTTCTCTTTCTCTCACTGGATATCGCGTGTGGAAAGCAGGCAGTTTTCCTCGCTTTTTGTATGCCATGTTAGATTAAATGTTCGCCAAATGTTGTTTTCTTGGAACTCCTAGGTTTGATTATAAAAACAAAAAATACAAAAAAAATTACCAAAATAAAACAAAAAGAGAAAAAAAATTAAGGAATAACAACAAAAATCTACACACTCTCTATGGGAAAAAATGACAAATTGTTTTCCATTTGCAGTCCTCTGGGCTTATCGCTTTCAGTTATCGGACTTTAACTGAAAACTGAAACTGAAAACAAAAAAAAACTATACAGAGGAAAGGATAAAAAGGATAAGGGCAGGGCAGGAGTGACTTTTCGGTTGTCCTGCATTTTTAATTATTTTTCTTTGACTCGTAATTTATGAAGGGCAGTCTGTGGTTTCTCCAATTTTAAAATTAATTGGAGGTGGCTTTTTTAGGGGAAAAGTTATAGGAATGCTTTAAAATGTTACTTTCCTTATTTTTCAATAAGATACATTATTGATTTTTAATGCCTTTTTAAGTTAAAAAAAAAAGTTAAGACAGAAATTTAAGAAACGTAAATTTAAAAATATTTATACATCAGAGAAAATGTTCTATAATTTTTTACTGAGTTTACTAAGTTCCTTTAATTTTTTTATTGAGAAAATATTAATATTTTTTTTGCTTATGAAACGATTCTGTTAAATATAATCTATAATTTTTAATAATACCGACACAATGTATTTCTATGGGAACTTTAAATGGTATTTAAGCTTATTAGTACTGTAAGTATTTTCTTATTTTATTAAAAATTAGAAGGTAATTTTAAATCACAATTTTTTAAATCGATTTATTTTTAAGTTTTTTATTTTTTATGGTCGTTAATGCTTATGTTTTTGTCCTAAAAAAAATTAAAGGTAAAACAAACATTTATAAAATCGTAGAATAAATAATATTATACATATTTTAAATAGTTAAAGTCACTTGTTCTTCAAAAATGTTTATTACAGTTTTTTAGCTTAATGAACAAAAATAAAGGTGTCCCTAAACTAATAAAATAAGTCCTAAGTCTTAAGTTTTAAGTCTTAAATTTTTAAAAATAATTTTTCTGATAAAAAAAAGTCCTCCCTGCACTCTTTTATTTAAAATTAAAGTCAATTAAATTTAATTCCCAAAATCTTCCTCACAATCTTGAGTCACAAGAAGGTTAAAGGATCAGAGATAAGAGAAAGAAGCAAGAAAGGGAGCTAGGAGGTGCCAGGAGGGTCTAGGAGGGCGTGGAAAATGGCCAGGTGAGTCCGAGTACCCCACCCCTTCGATATTAGTCCGTGCCACTTGGGCCTCCCACAGCTGGAAGCTGTGGTTTCTGGACTGCAGCTGAGAGTGACGAGTTAGGCTCAAGCGGAGGGGCAACGAGGTCGGCTAATTGAACCACACCCCACCTCATCCCGCCAGCCGACTGCAGGCACTATACCTTCCCCTGCCCCAACCCCCCGCCGGCCTGGGATTATGCAAACAAAACGCCCAGGCAGCCGAAAAATGCCAGCCCCTGAAACCGCCCGAAACAGAAAAGCTGAAAAGTCCACAAGCGGACTGTCGAAATGGAAGTGGCGGTGGCACTGGTGGCAGTGGCATGGAAGTGTGCCCTGCACAAGTCCAGAGGCCAGGAGGAAACTCTGCCACAATGCACTGTTACAAAAAAAGGTCTAAAAGGCAACTAATTAGGTTTAAGAATAATTTTAAGAAATATAAAGCCACATCTTCGCTGTTTCTGAGACTATAACTTATGTTTTGAAATATTAAAAATATTTTATTGAAAAAATAAAACCTTAAGTCTAGAGAAGCCTAGAATTTCTCCAAGTACCTTTTAGAAACTAGGGCCATTTCTAGTTTTTGGCTGCGACCGCAGACTGGAAACTCACGACACTGCTGCAGGACAAATGCAACACATTACGCGGGGGTGGCTGTGGTGGGCGTGGGAGTGGGTGTACCAATGGGTGGGGGTGGGTGTTGCAGATGAAGAAGACAATGAAATCAGGGACAGGGGCAGTGGGACGAGGCGCAAGGCCAAACTAACACCGACTGCCTCTATTTCGGCCATGAAACTTTGCGGACTGCAAACTGATAACTGATAACTCATTTTAGCTCCTACTAGTGGCCACTGCCCCTACTCACCACCCACCGCCCACAGTTGCCCTATTTTCCCACCGAAAGAGATCCTACCTCCCAAAATATATCCTCTGGGACACCCTGGAATTTCCTCTGACAGCGACGAGACTTGTGTGGGCGAATCAGCTTTCGGCGCACTTTATCTTTCTCTCTCTCAGCTGGTAGCCTTCCCCATCTCTCTCTTTCGCACCCTGGTCGGTTGTCTCTTTCTCACGCGCTCAGAGGGTGGTCTGGCACGCATTTTACCGGCTCCCCCCTCAGCCATCCCAACAATATAGGCCCCCCCAACTCTACGGACTTGTGGGTGGCAACCTCTCGGCATTGTTGCCTTTTTGAGTGGCCCTGATTGCCTCACATCAACTCGATACACACATGCCACATAAATGGGCGGGTGTGTGCGGGGGGTACAGTTGTAATTGGCAATGGGGGGAACACAAATAGGTTTGGTTTGTGACAAATAGATCAATAGATATATTGTAACTTTAAGAAAAGTAAAGAAAATTTAATATTGCTTAAAAAAAACAAATTATAGAATTTTTATTTCGTAATTTTAAAACAATTCAAGTCTTATTTAGGGTCTAATACAAAATTTATATATAAGTACACGTGAAGAACCTTGACGTGAACCTTGGCATCTAAGGAGTTGCCTCAAAATATATTAAAATAAGTAAATGTATGAAAAAATTTAGAAAAAAACATGTAATAAAAAACTTAAAAAATGAAATGATTTTTTTTGTAAAGAAGATTAAGTATAATCAAAATTTAATCGGAGTAATCGATAAAATAAACAGGTTTATCGACAAAAATCGGGGTAGTCAAAAAAAATCAGTAAAATGGATAATATATGGGAAAAATTATGAAAAATCAATAGAAATCGAAAGTAAGAATGACAGCTCCTTACATAATAGTGAAATTTTAACTTTTTACTGGTATTTACAATATTTAAAGCTTAAAATATCTTTTAAAAATCTTTTAAGCCTCATAGCCGACAACTTACTAATAATTAACTTATATTTTTTATACCGAAACGATGCACAAATGTCGATAAAAATCAATAACCACAATGTTATTTATTGAAAAAAATTTGAAATCCTATAATTTTATTTTATTTTAAATATTTAGAACTTAAAAAACCTCTAAACTCCCCAACCGATAAATTATTGAACAAAACTATGCAAAAACGTCGAAAAAAATATAACAAGTTTTGAGTAAATTTTGTTTAGATTTGGAGCCTTTTTATTTTTAATTTCTTACCTCAAAATACCCTTTTACATTATTTGAATACCAATTTAGTTTAAAATTAAGTATCTATTTAAAATGATAACAATAATTCCCCCCTTTAAAATTTAATATTTCCCCTACTGTTTCTCAATCAAGTAATGCCTGTGAGTTGTGTGTCTTTGGCTGGCGGGGCACGACTTTATTTACGATTTCATTAATTCAATGCACGCACTGCACGAAATCGACAGTCTTCTCTTTCTACCCCAACCCTATTAGTTCCATCTGTCTCCCTCGTTGGGGGGATATGGAAGTTGGAACCCTTCTCTCTCACTCTCTTTCTCTGGGTGACGGTAATTTTACGAACTTCATTTAGGGCGTTGCCAGCGGAGTCCTCGAAGCAAGGTCCTGGCGATGATTTGCACTTTCCTTCATTGTGCCTGTCAACAATTATAATGACACTCTTATTGTCAGCCATTCGAGACTTTGAGACTGCTGCGCTTAATTAAACCATTTTGCAATTTGCGTTAAGGTTTAAGGTTTAAGGACCTCAAACGCCACCCACACAACCCACCAAGCCAGCCAGCCAAAACGGACCCCCACAATCGCTGAGGTGGCCACGCCCTCACTTTAAACTGAATGGCACTCTATTTTGCGACTTTTATGTGCATTTAATTAAAAATTCAATTTTTAATTGTACTTTTTATCCGACTTTCGGTTACTGATGTGCTTTTTAATTAAATTGTTGTTGCCAACACCCAATCACCCACCAAAGATAAGCGATGACAGAAAGAAGTTCCCCAAAAAATGTAGATTTTCATTGAATTTCTTTTAGTTTTTGCCACAAAATGGAAGAGAAAAAACTTTTATTCATATATCTCAATTAGGAATCGACTGACTCAACTCGTAAAGTGATTAGCATAATGCTTTCGATTCGGTTAGGAATGGTATCGAACGATGATATAATCGGGGGCAAGACAATTAGTGGCAATTGCCAAAAGTTGCCACAGCCATTTGATTTATGGCAGTTGAATGAAGCCAAATTAATATCAGTT